CAAATGAGAACTTTGTTGCTCCTGCTCTCCTTCTGCTTGGAAAGGTGGTTTTAAAGTTAATACATCTTCATTACGTAAAGCAGTGCGTGTGACTCATTTTTTGTGTCTACAGAGAATATTATAAGATCAAATAATTGTGGCTGAAAACTCAGACCTCAAAAGATTAAATCAAACGTATTTTCTGCCTAACAAGGATAAGTCCTTGCCTTTGCTGCGTCCTTCAAGTTTAAAGTGCTGTTTCGTGGCAGAGGCTATTCCCAGTCTCAGCCAAAGCGATGGGGAATTGGTTGGTTGGGATCAAATCGTTGTCTGAGATCAAATTGATTTAAGGAGTCTCTGGGAACCAATAAGTTGAGCCAGTTACCTCTGGGGTCTGTGAACTGTGTATAGCCACGTGCTTTACGTTCCTGGTGTTTGGCTTGTAAATCTGTTCCTTCTCCTCCAAATCTAGGGGAAGCACAGCCTGGAGCGGAGGTGTGCCTGAGCCTGGGTCTTCGGTCGTGGCAGAGAGGGGTGGCTGCAGCCCCAGCCGGTTTCAGGAGCTCTGACCACTCTGCTCGTGGCACGCAGGATGAGTCCCCGGCAGGTGGGACCTGTTACAAACCCAGCTGAGAGCGGCTGCTTCAAGGACACGTGGGAATTTTAAGGTTTGCAGATGCCACCGAGTTTCGGATGTTGGCAACAGGGATAGCTTTCTCCCTATTAAATTCCATGGGTCTTGGATTGAATTTTCCTCTTTATGTTTCCCCCCAACTCTGCTAGTTACCATAGCGATGGCTACATGACTTTGTTGTAGTTGTTTTATTTAAATATAGCGAAAGAAATTGCTAGAGCTTGGGATTCTGGCTTCGAAAATTCAATTTAAGCAAAGCCTAACAGCTACTCTGTGTTATAGGTGCACAAAATAGCTTTAGAAACCACAGAGCCTCTACCACAGAAAACCACAGAACCACACGATCCTATAATTTGAAGCATGGACAAACTTTTTTTGGCACTTCTTGTGGATGGAGGACCAAAGTTTGGAGCGAGTCAGTGTTTTCAGGCAGTTTGTAAATGGCTGTGAGTAACCAAGGACTCACAGAGGCTGAAATCCCCCGTCTCTGCGCGAGGTGAGCCTTGCCAAATGTAAAGCTTAAACTCCCCTGGCTGTAATCAGCTGCGAAACTGCAAATCGAAAATGAACTTCCAGAAAAGCCGGGGGGTCGCTACTCCAGCCTTGTACTTGAGGGTTTAGAAAAATCGACGTGCGAGCGCCGTGCCCGCCTGCTCGCGGGGTGCTGGTCTGCTTTGCAGGGCGCTGCGTCTCCCTCGAGAGCTGGAAGGCGGTGAGCGATGGCAACGGCCCCCGGGGCGGCCGGACGCGGTTCTGTTCCTGGTGCTGTTTCAGCAGCAACAGGCTCGGCGTTAGGCTGTTTGCTGCTGAGTTCCCATGCCCTGCAGATTTAACTGACTCCTCTGAAGTCAGCAGGTGAGAGAAAAACCGTTTTCAGCGTAGCGAAACGCAGCGCTCTGAAACCCGGAGTGGAATTAACTGACTTCAAACAGTAACTCCTCTGGATGGTGCCTCGAGTTCAGAAACATTTGCTAAAACTTTCACTAGGAACGTTATGCAGGATTTGCTAGTTTCTGTACTTCGTGTGCTCTATCTAATCTGGCAATCTATCTTGCAAGTGTAGTGAGCCCATCACTGTGGTATCTTATAAGAATACGTGTGAAAATCTTGTTTACAACGGACTCTACATTTCCTCCATCGGGTTTAACTACAACTTCTTTTTTTTTCTGCTTTTTTTTGGTTCCCGAGTGTGTCAAAATCAGATCCAGGAGAGCTGCAGATGGAAAGGGCAGCTCTTCGCTGCATGCTCCCTGGGAGGCATCTGGGATGCTGGGTCTTTCGTGTTAATTAGCACAAAATCACTTAAAAGATAATGTCCTGATGGTCTGTTATTAGAAGATGTTGCAGAGCGTTAGTGATTTCCTGCTGGCCAGGGGAGGCTCAGTAGATTGGTGGAATCACATCAACACATCTTTGGATGTACTAATTTCAGGCAATTAAAAAAAAAAAAAAGGGAAAAAGAGAGTTGACAATTACTCATAATAGAATGTGAGAAGAATGAGATCAGCATCTCTCTCCTTCTGCTACCAGATTATCTTGAGATTCAAGAACTTGCAGTTTCCTGTAAAGACCACACAGAAATTATCATATACGCCCTCCCTTAAACAATTAAAATAAAGTTGGTCATGAGCATTTATTAGTGTTTTGTCCCCCCCATCCCTCCCCACTTCGAGACCTGTATTTATATATTTTTATATGGGTTCTTTATATTAATGTATTAGGGGATGGCTTTGCCCTATTTTCAGTTGAGTCACGACAAATCTAAAAGCTCAGAGGACGCAACCTGCTCATTTTTACACTGTAAACAGCACACAGCTGAGCACGGCTCCACCGTTCATCGTGATTTGAGCATTGTTGGGTAACACGGGATGGTGCCGATAAGGAGCGTCTCATCTGGCACCCTTCTCGTGAACAGGAGCGGAGGTGATGACCCCGACAGCTAGACTTGGGTGCTGGAGCCAAGGGGAGCTGGGCCCTTCCCCTGCGAAGGTAGCGGAGCCGGGGGGGGAGCACCCCTTGCGCTGGGGGCTACAGAGGAGCCACGCAAGGGGCTTTTTGAAAGGTTGGTGAGCGCAGTAACGTTTATGGCTGCTTGCAGGCACCGTGCAGCGCTCATGCTTCGTGCTGGGTCACTGGCTGTAGCTCTTTCACCCGTAGCATTTGGGAGGATGCAGAAGTGGCCAGAGCGAAGGGTCGCCGAGCCCGGCACCCTGCCCCAACAGAGGTTGAGAGAGATGGCTGGAGCCGAGCCAAGCCAGAGAAGCACATCCTGATGCTTCCAAGCTCCCTCCACCGCTGGAGAGCTCTGTCTGGGGACCTTCCCGAGCCAGATGTGCAGCGAGGTGTCACACCTCTGCATCTGTTCTCATTACGTGACGAAAGAGGGCATAGTTTGATTGCACCGTATCACTGAAACCTGGGAATGACTAAAACCATTTCCAGCTCTTCAGAAAGAGCAGGGGAAAGCCAGGGGACTATGGAAAGGTAAGGGCAAGAATTAATTTTTCAAATGGTGTTATAAACACCAAAGGACATGCTGAAATATGAAAATCTTCGGCTATGGGGAAAGAGAAGGAAATACCTAGAACTGTTGCAACAATGAATGTGCTAAGTTTAGAACATCTTTCAGTCATCCTCACTTTCTGGAATTAGATTGTGCAATTTTTTTCTAGCAAATAGATGAGTTTTGTTTTTAATGAAGAAATGTTGAATCTCCCTTATATTTCACTTTGAAAGAGCTATAAAAGTGAAATGTGGAACTCATTCTTCCATGTCAATGATTAGAAGCCCAAAATACATCTGTTCCACATGAACAACTGCAGACTTTGCTTTCACAGAAGAATAGCTATATTTGTCATTACTTTAAATGTATTCCTGTTGATTTCGTTCTTGTGTATTCTAACTTGTAAAGTCAGAAAAATGTCACAACCTTGATTAAAACAAAGTTCCAAGTATCCAGATGTTAAGGAAAAATGCTCCAATATTAAGCTGAACCTGCATACTTAATCAACAGTGATTTTGTTTAGCAAGTATCGAGGCTCACCACTAAGCTGTAGCTGTAAAAACAGAGGATCCTCGTTAGAGTTTCAGGGTAATTGCATGTTTGGACTCAGGATCTCATTTACAGCTATGGAAGAGGTTTTTGGGGGGCTCCGTTTGGCTTGGTGCAGCTATTCACTGCTAAAGCTACTGCAGTATCCAGTTTATTTCAGGTTAGTTTTCAGAATCTAGATTCCTGGCTAACTTCTTTTCCTTCAAAATAGTAAATACCTTTCTTAACTCCTGAAATCTAGGTGGGATTCAAAATTAAGTGAATTTAAGTTTTGGGGAGTGAGTGATGAAGGTATTTTAACCTGTGTTGTGCATTTATGTTTAAATTCCACTACTGTTCTATTGGAATTCTGCACTGAGCTCTTGAGAGCAAGGATAATTTATGTACAAGAATGTCTTAAAATAAGCCTCCGTAATTACAAAAATGCAGTGTTTAAATTTATAGTAAAAACCCACACACTGCTGGCAAAACTATAACTGCATCTGGAAAACATTAAGGATGCTATTAAAATAGTCTAGCATAAACTAGAAATGAGACTGAAATTACAGTGTTGCTTACTTAGCCATTTTTAGGAAGTGTATTTTGAATATGATCTACTTTCCTATTTGCTTTTTTTGATAAAACACCGTATTGTATCTTGTTTACTGCTGAGAATGAATGAGGTACTCTGTTATCTATTTTAGAAAAATCCATAGCACAGATTTTTTAAGCGTATTCTGACAGTTGCTGATAATTTAAAACATAACCAGGTGGCTGCTCCTCCAGTGACCAGGGGAAAAAGGAACAGGGAGAGCTCAAAGGAGAATAAAAATCACAGCAATTAAAAACTTATTTTATTAAAAAGATGAAATGTTTTCAAACATTGAAAAATTATGTTTTTATAAAAACAGAAATAGGCAAAATACCCATTTGTCTTCTATTTACATATACAATATTTCTCATTGTATAAAATTATTTACAATATATAAAAAAATTACAGTAAAATAGGTTATTTTCTTACAAGACATCAAGCCCTGTACTTCTAGTGTAGATCATGGCAAACAAGAATATTATTGCACCTGTGAAACAAACAGTCTAACAATAGGAGTGTTCTCTTAGCCATGCCTTCAACCGAGATCTAAAATAACATCGTTAGCTACAGTAACATTCATTTAATCTCCTCTAGGGTCAACTTCAGGCAGTTTCCATACAAACATTGTCTTGTAAAGCTTAGGACTGGGCAGTTAGAACCGGAATAAAAAAAAAACCAAACATATTTACAGCTTCTTCTATACAATCTGTATGGAGTCTTACAGAGTTCACCCTTCACCGAAGCTGCATAAATAACCCCTTTCTCCTGACCGGGATGGGCAGGTTCACTGATACGGTCACGTCAGATTCTCTGCAGGAGATGACTGGCTAAGTCTCCTTGTGTCAAATGCTCCTCAGCTTCCATCGCTAGAGCGGCGGTGCCTCCCTACGTAGTACCAGCTACAAGTTTTTAACGCTTCTGCACCTGAGCGGTTAAACAACGTCCCCCGTTCGCAGGTCAGCACCTCCGGGGCTACATGTGCCGCTTCATGTGCAAAGCCAGGTGGTCCGACCGGGAGAAGGCCCTGTCGCAGAGGTGGCACTGGAAGGGCCGGTGCCCGGTGTGCTTGCGATAGTGACGGGTGAGCTCGTCGGAGCGAGCGAACTTCCAGCCGCAGCCTTCCCAGTTGCAGTGGTAGGGCTTCTCACCTGTCGGAGAAATCACAGAGAGCGTGACTCAGCGCGGCACTCCCACGGACGGGCAGCATCACATGCTAGGCAACCTTCCCAGTTTATCTCAGCCTCTCCTTTTATTTGCTACCAAGCCCTGCTACAGTACGATCCAAGTGCTTTTAAGCCAAACAAGACTGCTCTAGCAATTCCTTTACTAACCTGTACCCGCAGCGAAAGCCTTTCGAGAAAGGGCGTTGGAAGCCCTGAGAAAAGCTTTGCCCTGTATATGCACAGGAGAACACTTGGACATTACAGCTCTGATCACCTGTCATAGCTCAACCGTGAACACTCCTGGAGCTGCAGAGACTACAGGGTTAAAGCTCAGGCTGCAAAATGTTTTATGCAGGCGGCCATAGCACCCGGCAAGCAGCGTACCTCCGGATGAAGGCAACCAGCCCTGCTTACCTGTGTGCGTCCTCAGGTGGGCCTTCAGGTGCGAACTCTTGGTGTAGGTCTTCCCGCAGCCCGCGTAGGTGCACGTGTGAGTGGCCGTCCTCTTCCGCGGCCAGGACCGACGGCCCCGTTTGGGTTTGGAGTCCAGCAGCTCCAGAGGGGAGGAAGGAGGGGTGAGCATGCCCCTGGGAGCGGAGGGTTGTAAGGGCAGGCTGTCCTCGAAAAGACCGAACTGGGAGGTGTTCTGGTACTGGAGATGGGTCTGCGGGTGGTGGAAGCCGGAGGTCGGGTGGTAGCTTTGCTGGAAGGACACGGACGAGGGGCACATCATCTGCGTGTGGCAGTCATTCACCATGAGATCGTCGGGGCTCAGCGGAGGCTCCTCTGCCCCGGGGATCTGGGGGGAGCTGGCCACCCGGGGCTGCTCATAGGCCATCATGCAGGTCGCGTTGCCCTCCTGCTTGATCTTCGGGCAAGCCTGGGGCACCAGACCCAGGACCGGTCCATAATTGTCCATGTCGGGCTCGGGCTTAATGTTCTCAACAAACTGCGGGCCCCCGAAGCTGGGTGTCACGAAGAACCGCCCGTGGACGTTGCCAGGAGGGCAGTAATTGGAGTCCATCTCAGAGCGGATCATCTCCGGCACGATGCCGGCGTTGTAGGGCGGGGGGCTGCCCTGCTCCAGGGCACTGTAGCATCCCGGCGACGGGTTTGTCTGGTAAAAGCCACCGCTCTCGCCTTGGGCTGGGGGATAGTCCCCACCAGCTGCGCCCTGCCCGTAGCTGTCGCTGCCCATGGAAAGGATAAAATCCAGCACGTTGTTGAGGTCTTCATCCTCTTTGCGCGGGGAGAGGCCGCCCCAGGTGCCGGCGGGGGTCTTGGCCTCCTGGTCGCACTTCCACCTCTGGGGGAGAAAGAAAAAGGAGAAGGTTAGAGGTGGTGGGCTGGTGTTTGTGGTT